CCTGGCCTTTGAGAAACAGAGGGTTGAAGCCGTGAGGGCCTTTCGCAGGCCCTGTCGGTCTGCGTCCTGCGCACCGCCCCATACCACGGAGATGTCCGCAAAGCCCGCGCACCACGCAAGACACAGCCCTGCCCGCTCGGCTCCACACGCAAGCTCCAGACTCACTTCCTGGAAGAGAGTGCTGGGTTCTCCCGCCATAGTGCTGGACCCCTTAGGTTGTCAAGTGTCGCTTTTATCCCAGAAGCATAGGATGGTTCTTACGGGAAATCACCATGGACTTTTAAGGGGCCTTAGCAAGTGTTGCTTAGAAAAGGCTGGGGTCCAAAGGCATGTCTGGGGAGCCCCGTGTCCATTGGGTTAAGAGTTGCTGTTACCCCACAGGCCACAGGAGGAACCTCCATAGTGCTCTGGGGAAACGTCCCCTGAGTTGCCCCCTGGACTCCCCTGCCTGCTCTTGTGACCTCTGGCTCTGCTGCGGTTCCCACCTTGGGTTTGTCCACCTCTGGTTTTCTTGCTCTTACCTCTCTGTCCCCTTGGTCACCCATGCTCAGTCACTGATTTGATTCAATGGCCCACCCTGCTTTTCCAGCTCCCCTTCTGACGACATGTAATGCTCCTGGCGTGAACTCTTGGGCCTGATCCCCAGCGTTTGTCAACTCCGGCCCCCGCCTTTCCCACCAAACACCACCTGCACCCCCAGCACTTTCCTGATTTAGTTTCTGCCAGTTTTCATCATGTGAGGCCTGGGCTGGAGCTATCTTGGAGAAGCTCTGAGGTTTGGTGCTGTCCTCTCTCCCCCTGCACCCAACGCCCTCGCCCCTGCTCTCATCACACCTGAGACAAAATACAGACAGTACGGGGGTGCCTGGGTGGCTCAGTCTGTTAAGCATCTGCCTTCGGCTCAGGTCATGATCCCAGGGTCCTGGGATCGAGTCCCACATCGGGCTTCCTGCTCAGCGGGGAGCCTGCTTCTCCCTCTCCCTCTGCCGCTCCCCTGCTTGTGCTCTCTCTCTCTCTCTGAGACAAATAAATAAATAAAATCTTAAAAAAAAAAAACCCAGACTGTATGTGCACACGTGCCAGCTGAAGGATGGGCAGGTGTTTATTGTGGCATCTCTGAAAACGCAAGAGAAACAACCTAAATCTCTGTCAATAGGAATAGGTTATGATACAGCCAAATAATAGGGGAAAAAACAACTCTCTGTATATAGACAGGAAATAATCTTGAAAACCAATTTTTAAGTGAAAAAAGCAAGGGACAGAACATATATAGATTTTGCTACCTTTTGTGTTAAAAAAAGAAAACGGGAAATGATACTTACATACACATGGAGTTTCTCTGGAAGGCAACAGAAACAACGGCTACCTCTGGGGAGGGAACAGTAGTAACTGGGGGACATGGTGTAGTGACATTTCCTTTCTGACCTTAGTACCATGTGTCTAGTACCAATTTAAAAATTCTAATTAAAAACAAGATAAACACCGTATGTGTGGAAATGTGGAAGTAGATGGGGCTTGGGGGATCACCCCTTAGTTGTACAAATTAGGACATTAAGCCACAGGGGTAAATAATTTGTTCAAATTCCCGCTACTACGAAGTGACAGAGCTGTGACTAGAACCTTCGCTGTCATTTGGTGCTTATACTCTAGGGAATGTGGCTTCCAAATCATATGTAGCAGAACTTATAAATGACAGGGTTGTACCCCAGGACAAGACATTCAAGACTCAGTTTCTTCATCTGTAAAATGTGCACAATAAAGTTTTTGTGAAGATGAAATTAGGTAGTGCCTATTATCCTAGCTAGTTCCTAGCATACAAAGCATCTGATAAATGCCAGTTACTGTTATTTATTATTTTTGGGTATGATGGTGTTGGATGGGGCAGAGAGGGCTGGGAGGAAGGTTATCATAGAAGTATCTGGAGATGAAGACTTGTAGGGTAAAGAAAAATAAAACAGAGAGGGAGAGAGACCAACCCCTTGGTTCTTACTTATTTAGGTAGTCACTAGAGATTCTGAGAGAGTAAATGATGCTTAATGTGGAAAATGTATGTTAGGGTGTATGTGAGAGAGATATGGGGAGAGAAATTCCAGCCCTTTTCACTGCAAATTGTCACTAAAGGCCACCTGTGACCAGCACTGCCCCTTATGCTAAAAAATGAATGTACAACCCGGGACCATCTGGTGTGCTTCTTTCCATTTCTCTTTCATTCCTGATTATCCAAAGGCCCTCTTTATTCCTGCTACCTTATTTCCTTTCCTATTTTCTCTTCTTCTGGGGCCATGGGTCAAGTGGTGACCCAAAGCCTTCCTTGGAGGGGTGCCTGGCTGAGCATCTGGCTCTTGGTTTTGGCTCAGGTCGTGATCTCAGGGTTGTGAGATCAAGCCCTGCAATGGGCTCTGTGCTCAGCGGTGCATCTGCTTGAGATTCTCTTTCTCTCCCTCTGCCCCTCCTCCCGCTTGTGCTCTCTCTCTCTTTTCTTGCTCTCTCTAAAATAAATAAATTTTCAAAATAAAATAAATTAAAAAAAAAAGCCTTCCTTGGAGAGGTGCCGAACACATCCTGCTCTTCTGGGCAGCATTGCTCACAGCACATCTGGGCTGAGGAGCTTAGCAGGAGACCCACAAAGCCAAGGCTTCTGGGACCCATCCCCCTGCCCTTCTCTTTCATGCCAGAAAGCCACCTCCTTATAGGCAGAGGGGCAAGGACATGGGGTTCCCTCTCTTGTTCACCACTTGATGACTGGTAATCATATTCCGGTCTAATTGGAAGGAAAATACCATGTGAGGTTCAAAGCTCAGGTTCAGCGACTAGCCCTCTTGGGTTCAAATCCTCCTCCATGATTGCTCTGTGACTATGGGCAAGTTGTGTAACCTCTTTGCCCCAGTTTCCATCTGGGAAAATGGTAAGGACAAAATGAGATGATCTGGGTAAAAGGCAGAGCACAGGACTTGGCTTAGTCAATTCTCTATAGAGGTTAGCCTGACATAGTGGCGGCAGCCTCAGCTGTAGTAGAAGTAAGCAAAAGAGATAAAAGGCAAGTCTGGGGATTCGAGGAAGGTCTGTAAGCACTGACCTCAAGGAATAGGGTCAGTACCACCAATTGCATCTGCATATGTGCCACTCACCCCCACCCCCTGTAAATGTCTCGTCGTCACCTGCTGGATTATCAGTGAAGAATGCTATTTGGTCTCAGTAGTTCGGCAAGCAATGTGACTCTAATGAGGAGATTGTTCTAGTGGACTAATATCTTTTCCTGGTTCGGGGTGATACATGATGCATCAAAGCTTTTAACATATGCTATCATTATTAACTTATTACCTTATTTCGAAGACATAAATATAAGACAAAGCCATTTAACCCAGACAGAAGTCAATACATAGTAGATATTTTCTTAAATCCTGCTTTGGGCATAAACACGTGAAGAATACCGGTTGGTTAGACTCTGCAGTTTGTAACTGATTCTGATGGTTTGGGGTGACATTTACCAATGTGATTATCAAGTGGATTCCCTGGTCTTGGAGGAAGCTGAAATGTTCATCTGTATAACCAAAAAAAAAAAAAAAATAGACTGTGCTCAAACAAATATTTTTATAAATTAAACCAGAGGACTCCCTTGTCATTCAGTTGCGCAGATGGATAAGGTGTGGGATGGGCCCTGCAGGGGCCCCCTCTGGCATTCCAAAGGGTGACCTAACCTCTGGTTAGAGAGCATGGCTTGAAACAGCTGGCTTTTCTGTTTGCACAGCACCTTGCACTTTAGAAAGGACCTTCCCATACGTCATCTTATTTACTGGGTAAGTTTTCTATGGCCTAAACTCATATGCTCTCTTCCTCGGCGGGCCCCATTTGAACAATAGACGTTATACTATGGTAGGATGAAAACCTTCAGCTTACCTTACTGTGGTCACTACATAGCCAAGGTGAGGGGAGATTTTTCAGATAATCATCAGGCTCATAGTCCTTCCTGCCCTGGGATGAGCCCCAGGATGGTTTTCCAACACAATCTGAAGTTCAAACAGAATAAACTGGTTTATAGCTTCTTATTAGGGGAAGTTCTAAACATGCTTTTTAGTAAATACATTTAAATATTGGTGCACTTTACTTAGTCCCTAAGGGAACTTCCTCCTTGAGAATGTCACCTTACAAACGAAATCCGCACTGTGTTTTTATTTAGAACCCAGGAAGATTTCTGTCAGATAATCTCAGAGAGACTCAGTTCTCTGCAGAATGTGAGAACTGACACTGAAATCTAATCAGTCACCCCAGTTTCCAAAAATTCTTCCACACTGATAGATAGGTAACCTTTTATTAAAAGTTAGGACAGTGCGGGGCGCCTGGGTGGCTCAGTCAGTTAAGCGTTGGACTCTTGGACTCTTGGTTTGGGCTCAGGTCATGATCTCAGGGTCATGGGATCGAGCCCCATGTTGGGCTCTGCGCTCAGCGGGGAGCCTGCTTCAGAGTCTCTCTCTCCCTCTGCCCCTCCCCCTCGGCTCCTGCCCTCACTCACATGAAGGCACACGCAATCTCTCTCTCTCAAATAAATAAATAAATAAAATAAAAAAAAAAATTGGGACAGTGTGCATTCCTTTATACCCAAGTATTACGAGGAAAGTAGTTAACTTATAGTAGATGTGAATTTACATTTATAGCATAAAAATAGCATCATACCCTATAGGAGATGTTCTGGAGTATCACCCTTTTGACACAAAAAAGCTTCTCAGTGCCCTTCGCGTAAGTGTGTCTAACGTATCTGGTCAAGGCTAAACTGCTTGCATTTGTGGGAAGTTTCTCTCTGGGCTCTGATTCCATGTTCAATATACTCCCAGCTTGAGCTCCATTTACACTAAATCAATACTCTGTCACACTGAACTGGAAGACCAAACGCAGTGGATCAAGTTTACCGCTGGATGCATGTAGGATATATTTAAAAATCACTGAAAACATAACATAGTAGCTTTGTCTCCATGGCACTCTCAATTTTGTGTGTGTCCCTACAGATTTCTCTGAGGAAACAGAACATTCAGCAGAAATGCCCCTGGAAGAGGAAAGCAGAGATAAAGATTTTCATACTCAAACTACATTTGTTGCCGTGACCATGGGAGCATTCATGGCAAATTCAAGTTTTGGCGACATTGACGAGGATGAAAATCAGTTGGAGTTTGTATTAATGGTGTTGATCCCACTGGTTTTATTTGCGCTCCTATTTTTATCAGTGATAATCCTTATAGTACGCTATAAAAGAAAAAGGACCAAACAAGGTAAATATTTTGTATGTTCCCATTTCCGTGTGTGTTCATGTGTTAATGAACAATCAGTAAAACAAAATATTTTTTGCTTCTTCTACACAGGGCCTTCTAGCCAAGGATCTCAGAGTGCCGTACAGACATGTGAGTATGATCTTAATGCCTGTCTGGAGTGGGTGATGGGGGAGGAGAAAGAAGGGAGAGGTTTTAAAGTTGAGCAACCAGGACTACATAAACTAGTAAATGATGAATATCCCCTTATTTTTCAAAAAGAGAATGGCTTTAGCCTAAAATTAAAACACACAGCTACCCTCTCTGTACCTAATCCAGATGAGGGCCTTGTCTAATATCGGCCAAGAGGTCCATGCAACATTCCCTAAATTGGAGGAAACGTTCAAAAGGGCAAAGCGGTGGGTCAGTTTGGGGTTGGGGATGGGAAGGCTAAGACCTTGGGCTTGTCTCCACTGGAAGAGGATTCTTCTGCCGTATATTCTGTATATTATATAATATATTCTGTATATTTCTGTCGAAGATATTGTTTTCTCCTCCATGCCCAGTTTGATTGTGAAAAGGCCTGAGTAAAGCATTGTTCTTATTCTCATTAAAGCTATGCTAACTTTTGTATGAAATTCCTAGTTGGCTGAAGATTACCAGCATAAAGCTGAAACCGATCTGATAGAGAATTCCCTAGGTCAGAGATACCTCTGCGGGTATTCAGTTCCAAATCTAGGAGCAACAAATACTAGGTGTCAGGGTGCTTCTAAGTCCAAAGCAGACTTGAGGACTTTTGGCTTGTGCTGGTAAAAATGACTCTAATTAGGCTTTTTAAAGTTGAAGCTTTTAGTTATTACAAAAATCACTCAAGGGATGGGACCATCTCTAATGAGCTACATATTGATATGTACATACAAAAATTCACTGTATATCCCTCACACTCACTAACAGGGCACCTCTGGCTTTGACATCATGCCCTTGGCCTGCAGGCCTGGCTCACTCTCCTTGTATCAGGAGAGCCTTTAAGCTCTCGGCAGGAGCTATAAATGGTCATTTTTCCATAATGCCAGCAGGTATGGTAAAAGTGAGCTTGGGAAGAAGCACCTTTCTTGGCAGGAGCCAAGACCTGGGGGGGAAGGATGGGGATGTCTGGTCAAATGTGCCTGCTTTCAAGGGGGCTCTAAATACAGAAGAGGATTTTTCGCGGGACTTCGTTGTGAGCATCTCCAAAGTCAAAAGCCATTCACCCTCAAGAACTGGCCTCCTTCTCAGAGGGCTCATGCACCCTGCTGGAGCCACGCTCCAAGTATTTGCTGTTCCCGGAGCCTGGCTTACACACATGTTCATGATGCTTACATGCCTACTCTACTACTCTTCTGTTTGGGATTTCCTTCTTGTCTGCTTGGCAAACTGCCACCCTATTCTTCCATGCCCAGTTCTGAAGTTTTTATGAAGCCTTGAGTAATCACTCCCTGGGCAAAATGAATCACCACCTCTTCTGTGTTCTCACTTACGGTGTACAGCATTTACGTTGCGTAAGTTGGTGACTTGTCTTTTTTCTGTTTTTAGTCTCTCTTACTAGGTCAGGTTCTCTTTAAGGTCCGAGAGAACCAAGAACTTGCCTTACTTGTCTGGTTTAATGGTGTGATGTGGAGGTTAGAGAATGGGCTCTGGAACCGCACTACCTGGTTGGCTTTTTTCCCTAGCTCTACGACTTCTCTGATTCAGTTTCCTCATCTGTGAAATGGGCAAATCCGACACCTGGCTTGCAGAGCCATCGTGAGAAGTAAATGAATTCATCTATGTAAACCACTTCAGAAAAAGAGTAGCTGGCATATTGTGTTAGCTGCTGCTGCTTATTGTTATTGCCCCTTTGACCTGACACAGTGTCTAGCCCAACATTTATCAGCTGCTCAATACATGTGGTTGAATGAACGAGTTAATGAAACAGCGTTAGTACTTTTTTAAAAGAACACCTACCTATTCTCAGAGATAAAAACAAATTCGAAACTTATTCTTAATACAAACTGGCACATTCTTTTTGTTTTAAAATATGCCTCACTTTAAGAGAAAACACAGAGATCTTAAAATTTCAAAACAATTGCTTATTACACGTTTTGATATAGAGAGCTTTATTTGAATATTTCCTTTAATATAGATACAGATGGTTAGCTGCTTAACACATGGATATCTCTTCAAACAAACAATGCTGAAAAGTTAAGCCCTGCTGTCTGCCAAAGTCCACCCATTCATATTTAACATTATAACGCAGATCAATAAAAGGAGAGGGGCGCCTGGGTGGCGTAGCAGGTTAAGCATCGGACTCTTGATTTTTGACTCAGGTCATGCTCTTAGGGTTGTGAGATCGAGCCCCACGTCAGGCTCCATGCTCAGCGGGGAGTCTGCTTAAGATTCTCCCTCTCCCTCTGCGTGCCGCCCCCCCCAGCTCTCTAAAAAATAAATAAATAAGTCTTAAAAAAAATAAATAAAAGGAGACTGTTCAAATTAACAAAATTTGATTTAAATATTTTTTTTCCAGGAAAAATAGGACTGTCACACTGGGTCAGACCAGCATTTTGCTTGGAAAGCATCCAAAATGATGTTTTGTGGGAGGGCATGGATGATGTCGCCTCAGAAAGTTAGAAACAGACACATTGGTTTCTCCCCACCATGTGAATAGTGCCTGGTGTGTTCTTCTCCAGCAGGAAGTGAGCCTGCACATTTGATGACTGGGGAGGACCCGGCCAACACCTTTAGAAAGAGCCCTTCTGACCCGCAATCACATTTTTTCCTTTGGGCTTGTCCATTTCAAGTCCAGGAGAAGGGAAGTGCCGGGCAGTAATTTGCTGTTCTATTGCCCTTCTTCCTAGACCTCCAGGAGTTACATTTGTAGCTGTTCTTATTTAACATTTATTAAGGGTCTCGATGGGCTGTGTCTCTGTGTTAGCTACAGGCATCCCTTTAAACAGGCTATGGTGATGTGAAGCCTGGCTCAGCTCAGAACATCTCCAGAAAGACTCTCTCTTGCTCAGGGTTCCGCACGGAAAAGAAAAGCTAAGCCAGCCGGTCCCCTGTGGGAGTCCACGCCCCCCGCCCCCCCCACCCGTGCAGCCCAGCAATCCCACCACCCACCACCCCACCACTGGCGCTGCACAGAGGAGACTGGCTGATAGTGGGGGCACGGGCGTGCTAAGTGGTTGTAACTGGGGACTGGAGGCAGAGGACAAAGTGGGGAGGAGAGTGACATGGAAGGACTGTAGGAGGGAAAATGGAATCAAGTGCAGGTGGGGGGTAGTGTAAGAGGTACATTTGCCCTCCGGTTGCAAAGGGAGTAGATGGCTATTAATAAAGAGATAGAGGCCAGGTGGAGAGGTGCGGGCAGGGCCTGATTGCTGGGGACATGTAATTGGTCTCCCTCCTGGCTTAATGCTCGGCTCTGGTGAGCTCTCCCAGATGTTTTTCTGTTGCCATGGTGGCTGGGCCGGGGTAATGGTCTCGGAGCAGGAGAGACGAGGCCACAGAAGGCTTTTTGCTCTGTTTGAATACTGATTACAGGAGCTTCGCATTTGGTGCATCTGGAGCACTTTTGTAATGGGTTTTTAAACTTTTCCATCATCTGCATGCAGGGTTAGCTTTTGCTCTCCACAAAGCCTGCGGGCACTCAAATTATAAAGATAAATCCATGCCTTCTACAGTGGGGCTGTGGGGCCACTTATTCTCTGAGAATTAGTGTGGGTGTGTGTGTGTGGGAGGGGTGTTACTAAGCAGGAAAAGAGGGGGAGGAAAAGGGGGGGAAGTGACAAAACAGGGGGATCTTTATGGGTCACCTGTAGGGGAGGTTCAATGTGTAGGGACTTTATTTATAGTAAAACCCCTTAAGGAAATAGCATGTCAATTTGAGAGTAAAATTATATAAAAAATATAAAATGAATATACTCCCCTTTCCCCAGTCCAAGTGTCTGAGGATCAGGCACCTGCAGGGAGCTTCAGATTCCTACCAGGGGCCAGAAAGCCATAACCCAGAGGCCCTGGGAGGTAGGCAGTAATGGCACGAAACTTCCATCTGTGCCTAGCGTTCCTGGATCATCAAGGCCGTGAAAGCTTGCCAACCCTCAGGAAATGACAACAGCTCCCAGCTTCCAGGAGCTCAGTTCTCGGTGGCTGCTGGCTGTGTTTCCTTGATGGGGACCTGCATTTCTGCAGGCCTGCCGAAAAGAGACCTCTGCTTGCCAAGGATCGGGAACATTTGACTATTCGGTGGACCTCTGCAAAGTGGTTTGCTCCTTGATGGTTTTCACATCATAGAAGGTGCTAGGGGCCTATGTTATCCACTCACGTGGCATGACTGCCTCTTTCTCTGGATGCATTGGTTCCCCTGCCAAACAAAACAGAGCTGGAGCTGGGGCAATGCGCCTTGATTCTTGCCACACGTTCATCTGGAGTCTGATGGGCATTTGACAGTCTGTTACCTGGTTCTCACCTCAACCACAGCAACACAGAGCAGGTTTCCTCAGAGCTTCGATTTTACGATATTACGAAGTCCAAAACCGGGTGTGAATTTAATCCGCGTTGGACCATCCAGATTAAGACCTCAGTTAACACCAGATTAAGGTTAATTATTGCTCCCTTAAAAATGCAATTTGAAGTCATCTCTTGTGTTTGTAAAGGAGATTTCAGCTGTTGTTGAAATAAAAAGTTGTTATGGACAGTGAAAGCTAACATGGCCTTTATTTTTTTTTCTCTTTAGGTGAACTGGGAAGTGAAAACAACAAAGTGTAAGTCCCCACTACCTCTGACCCAGCTCAGTAAGGACAAAGATATCAGGGAGAGGAGCAGATTAGAAAGCCATCTGCTTTTTATGGGTTTTTGTTCTGACACCCTTGAGGGACCCTTGAGGGGCCTCTTGCTTCCTGGGCCCTGGGAGAGGGCCCTGAGCAGCCTACGGGGATGCTCGCTAGGCCCCCAACCTCAATTCAGTGGGGAGTCTGGGTGAAGAACAGGATCCTCTTCAGAAAAAACTAAATCTTTTTGACTACTACCAGTTCCAAATGCATCGTAGTTCAATATTCTGACACTGGGTGTATTTCAAGGACATCGGTTCGTTTACTCTGGTTAAACATTTTATCACCAGGAAAGATATGTTCCCTGGTATTAAAGGAGGAGAGCACTGGTAGAAGCCTAAAGTTCATGTGGCAGAACCATGGTGGGGTGGGAGGGAGAAAAGGAATGGAGGCGGAGAGGAAGGAAGGGTGGTGCAGGGAGAGAGAGAGGGAGGGAGGAGAAGGAAGGGAAAGATAGGGAGGGGGGGGGGGAGAGAGAGAGAGAACAAGATTCCACCAGAAGATTGTTCTGGGGCCCTGTCACCACCCCCGCCCCAGCTTTTCCCCTAGCAACCTTGCTTGTTTAGACACTTGGCTCACTTCCTCTCCACGGTGTCACGCCCATACTGTGGTTCAGAGCTGGTGGTCCTCCTCCCCAACCCCATTTACATTAACCAGGGGCTTCTTTCCCATAATTGTGGGCTCTGAGCCCTGAGAAGTGAGTGCGGTGGGTTTCTGAAAGCAAGGGCTCTATTTCTCCATGACAGAAAAGCCTGGGAATTGAAAGGAGAAGTGAGGAAAGCAACCTGTTCACAGTGGCTTCTTGACCTGGGGCACAGATCAGAAACCTCAAAGAAAGGGAAATGAAATTAAGCAAGGCTAAAATGCTCAACAGGGCAACTCCCCAGAGGATCCTCACGGTGGAAGCCTGTTGGCCCAACGTTGTCCCTTCTGGGGGGCAGTCAGGGTCTCCTGGGCTCCCCTTGAGCTGTGTGCCCTCCGTCTTTGGATCAGCGATAGAGGAAGGTTTATTTTAGTTCTAGCCTTTCCTCCTTTTAGAGTTTGGTACGTGTGAATAGGGCAACCCCCCGCCCCCCATCTGCCCTGGAGTGTCACACACGACCTCAAGTTCACCTTTCTCCCACTCAGCATTCCAGCCTCTCCCAAAAGGAAACTCTGCCCAACACACTTCTTTTTGTTTTAACACGATTTTTGCTCTCTCTCTAGCCCCATTTTTGAGGAAGACACGCCCTCTGTTATGGAAATCGAAATGGAAGAGCTTGACAAGTGGATGAACAGCATGAATAGAAATGGTACGGTCACCTGAAGTTCTTTTTTTGTCTTCTCTAATATGAGAAGACTGTCAGAGTTTCAGAAATACCCCGTAAATCCTGGAGTGTGTCAGGGTGAGCCCAAGCCACATTAGATCTGGAGCATGCAGACCGTGAACCTGGGTCTGACCATCGTTAAAGACTCCATTTGATTAGGCCATCACTTGGTGCCCTTGGTTTTTATTCTTGTACAAGCTTTTCAAATGGCCTCTTTAAAGAAGCCAATGGTCTTTTTTCAAACAAGGACCTCTTCAGGTCCAAATTATCTGGAAAAGGTTAGCGTCTGGCATTACCTTATATATGGTAGCATTTAGAGATCTACGATTTTAATCTGTATATGGTATAAAACTTTACCACATATAGTTTACATAGATCCGTGCTGTCCAGGACAATAGATGCTAGCCACATGTGGCTATTTAAATTAAAATTTTAAAAAATGAAATAAAGTTAAAAATTTTGTTCGTCAGTCACTCTAGACACATTTTGAGTACTCAGTTGCCACTTGAGGCTCATAACTACTCTATTATACAGCACAGATCTAGAACATTTCCATCATATAGAAAGTTCTATTGGACAACACCAATATAGTAGTATTATAAATATTCCCATGAACTTGTTGATATCTGGCAGTAATTGTATGTGTTCTTTACTTTTCATTGAATCAATGTTCAGATTTAAAAATGATGTTAGCTGTTTTTTTTTCCTTTTTAAAGTTCCGTTTAAAAAGTCAATAAGTTATTTTAATGCTCGGATTAAATTAATAAGATCCAGTATTTATATTATCATATCATTCGTATTTTTCACATTCGTCTTTAAAAAATACTCTGGGGTCTGTCAGATTCAACAATAGTGAAGTCCAAATCCAGATACCTGTTATTAGAATTACTGTACCAGAGACTTATCAACATAAGCTTTCCAGAAGATTAGAACCATTCAATGAACTTGTATACTTTTGAACAGAACCATTTTTCATAGCCCAGTATGGAGGAAAGAATGGCTCTGTAGAACACTTAAGGATAGGGGCGGGTCACTGAGATAATCCTGAAGGTAGTTTCATTTTGTTATTTTTAGTTTATAAAATATACCTACATAATAGAATTTGGAAAATGCAAAAAAAAAAAAAGTAGAAAGAAGAAAAGAATATACCACCCAAAGATAACCTCTCTTAATCATTTGCCATATTTCCTTTTGTGCCTGGGATCATTGTAATACAAAATCAGGGTCCTATTACACTCACTAAACCAGAAACCTGGAAAAAGGCCTTTCTTTTTAACAACCATAGCAAACAGTTATTTTGACACATACGTGATGGAGCCGATGGATTTTGTTTTTCCTTAAAAATAAGTGGGGCCTAATAGGAGGGAACTCTGACGACTTTAAGAAGGTTAGTTGTTCCTCACTTTACCTGCTGCTTTTTGATGGGGCATCCTGACTGAAATCATTCTGCAGGCACGTCAGGACTCCGGTAAAGCTATTTTATTCCAGTGTCTAACCTGCAACATGCAGGTTCTAGCTTTTGAGCAACAGTGCGGTTCTTCAGGGCCTGAATAACCAAGCAGTGATGAATTGTGCCCTTTCCAACAGGGCCAGAGGCATGTTGAAGTCTTGTATCTGTGCTTCTGATGCTTTTTCCATTTGAAGAGCCTTGCCATCATTAATCTTTTAACCTCTGGAACTCCCTAGTGAGGCCATTTCTGCACAAGTAACCATACAGATCAGGGAAATGTGATGCTCAAATGTAAGAGTTTTGTGGATAGAAAATAGAATTTTGGTGACTAACAATGAGTTTGCTTTTTTTCTGTCCTAGCGGACTGTGAATGTTTACCTACTTTAAAGGAAGAAAAAGAATCAAACCACAACCCAAGGTACTTCTAGTTTCCGCTTTTGATGAGAGGTGTGTGGGGGAGGAGAGGGGAGACCACAGTAGAGCCCTTTTGCTTATCGTCTCTGTGCCTGTAGATTTTATGTGACAATTTACATGGGTATATGTGTGTGTCATGTGGAGAAAAGAAAGTGTGAGTTATGGCAAAGAGGAAAATGTAAAGTAAATATCCTAGTGACTCCATCTTTAGAAGTGGATTAGTATTGGCATTTTTCTTGCGCTTCTAAAGAGACACTGTTGTGTCGGCTTCCATTTTAGTCATAAAACTGTGATTATAACAAACTAGAGGTTTGTTTAGCTTGGATGAAGAGATGTTTGGTAAGGAAAACAGATGGAAGTGGCCATCTTAAAGGGGATAACTGTAAATAAGACTGAGCAAAATGAACATATTAAAAAAAACAAAAAAACCCAAAACCCCACCTGGATTGGATTGTTTGTTTAGGAGAGAAATTAAATGAGAATTTGATAAACATATTCCATCCTACCACTAGGTGGCTCTGCCTGATAGAAGATTTTGGCGTCTAGGGCTTGGCGTTATTCAGCACACCATAATCTTGTTTAAATGTTGTTCTCTTTTGTGAGGATGGAAATGACCAGGTTTGGGGTGTTTTTGATCAGAGAATTGTTTGGTCAGGACGCGAGAAGTGTCACAGGAGAAAGGATTGATGATGCAGCAGCTCGGGGACTTGTCCCACAGGGCGGCACGGTGATTTGGGGGGCGCCAAGTTGTTGGTAGGGGTGACTCAGAGGGGATCGGGGAGCAGAGAACGTGACTGAGCCCGTGACTGAGACTGTACACTTCTGTGGGAATAAATAGAAGAAACTTTCAGAGCAGGATAAACACTCCCTCCGTGTTAACCAAAGTTCCTGTGCCAGTCATCTTAAATGTTTCCAGAATGCAGTCACTTGTCACTGGGCAGTCCCTGAGGCTGGAGCATCACAGGGGAAGACTGATAGTCGATAGTGAGGCAGTCAGATGTTTGTCTTCTGAACCCTTATTCTGCACCTTTCCCTCAACCTCATCTGAGAGGTGGTCACCCCACATCTCACACATCAGGCCCCCACAGTCCTACTGAGGCAATCCTCAGCTTTGACGTGGAAATTCACTTCGTATTGAAGATTTCAGTCATTATTATCTCTCCAGGTATCTGCATGTTAAAAATTCATCACTGGCTCAGAAAAGATTCTATACTATTTAAATGAGATGCCAGATATTAACAAGCAGACGAAAGAAAAGAAAATGTTAGGGGGAGTATCACGAAGGAAATGACAAAGGAGTATTCTCTCCACATTTTAATCTTACCTAAAATTGAGTCATTGTGTATGTTCAGTGTGGGGCTCACCCACATCACCACTGAAACCCTATAAATACCTTGTTAGTGTGTCTCTGACCGGCACCCTCAACTGATGCGAAACATCGTGGTTTTTATGTACCTGCCTCTTGATCTTTGAAATTATTGGCAACATAGAAGAAACTGAATGTTAGAGGATTGTATGGTTGTGAAAGCATCTTAGAAATCACATTTTCTGAAATATTGAAAGATTAGTCTTGGTAATAAGCTCGAGCTCACTTCTGCCTGTACGACAAAAAGGCTTACCGTATTTGGAGGGCTGCTTTATGCTAAACTATTGTTTTTAAGGTGCATGTCTACATTCCTGCATTGGTCCAGAACAATCTGGCTTCAATTCACAGGATGACAGTCTGGCTTCACCCCGTTCCCTCTCAGTGAAGCCGGCACCGGCTTATGGAACCAACAGTGGCAAGTCCCAAGGCTTTGGTACTATAGGTACTTTCTGATTACTCAGAGAGCAGTACAAGATTGTAAAGCAAATCTAGTTTTTAGTCACTAAAAACTCAGAAAGATACAAAGCACTTGGAACAAAGCCTGCCACAGAATAAACTCTCAAGAAGTATTGGTATTATTATTATTTTTAAAGGTTTTATTTATTTATTTGTCAGAGAGAAAGAGAGAGAGAGAGAGAGCGCACGAGCAGGGGGAGTGGCAGGCAGAGATGGAAGCGGGCTCCCCGCTGAGCAGGAGCCTGGCAGGAACTGGATCCCAGGACCCCAAGATCTTGAACTGAGCCAAAGGCAGACACTTAACCCACGGAGCCACCCAGACATCCCTGGTATTATTAGTAGTAACTTAAAATTGATATACATAAATTCACTGCCTCTTGGGCTAAGGAGCCCGGGTCCAAGGGCCCAGGCACATCCATATTAGTGGATGGGGCATTAAAAAAAAAAAGGCTTTCTATTTTAGAGCAGTTTCAGGTGTACAGCAAAATGAGCAGAAATTACAGAGAGTTCCCATATACTCCCAACCCCCACACACGCACAGCCTCCTAGACTATTGGAGTCCCACACCAGGGGGGTACATTGGTTACAATCAGCTAACGTACGTTGACACATCATTATCCCCAAAGTTCCCCATTGGCTTTTACGTCTGCGACTCATCCTTCCTCTACCATTCAAGTAGTGTGCAGGGGAACGCAATGCTTCAGAAAGTGCATAACAGTCACTGGAGAGTGAGCTTAGTAGAAAACACACGTCTCGATCCTCTTGCTACATTAAGACTTCCAGAACCCATTTAAAGGGTTCAATCCTTCTTGATGCTAGAAAGACACCCTTACACGGAACCTCTGTTATATATAAAGTCCATGTGCTTCTGGAAAAAGGACTCAATCTGGTCACCACCCTGCCCTTAATGCACCGCACTGGGTGTGAAGACTTTTCTCATTAGGGTCCATAGTCTCAGGTCTTGCAGGTCTTTTCCCGCATATCCCATTGGCCAGCCATTGTTCATTACTTTGCCCTGTCCTCATGGAATGGACATTTTCCTTTATGCTATGGAATCTAACATTTAGCACAGGACTTTCATAAGGGCCAGAGACATACAAAGCACTCTGGGAAATGTATACTATGGTTTTCATGTTTTTAGAAAATCAATAAGGAAATTATCTTTCTTTTTTTTTTTTTTTAAAGATTTTATTTATTTATTTGACAGAGAGAAACACAGCAAGAGAGGGAACACAAGCAGGGGGAGTGGGAGAGGGAGAAGCAGGCTTCCCCGTGGAGCAGGGAGCCCGATGTGGGGCTCAATCCCAGGACCCTGGGATCATGACCCGAGCCGAAGGCAGACGCTTAACGACTGAGCCACCCAGGTGCCCTGGAAATTCTCTTTCTTGAAGGAATTGTGGAGGAGGGGGAATTTGACGTTATTTCCTACCTTAGCATTTTCCCCCAATTCTTGTCTGCTACGGGTGAGGCATTGTGAGAGTAGCGGTGGAAGAGTGGTGTTGGTGGCATAGTGTCCAGGGGGTATGGCGGGGCAGTGGGAGGTGGGGAGAGGTCTGCCCTGGAGGTGAAGAGAATCTCATCAGTGCGTTGTTAAACTTTGCCAGCACTTGGTGATAACAGAAAGCAGATCTGCTGAGTTGGTTTTATTATTGTTTAAATTCTCGGTAAAGAATGCGTTCCCTTATTGTCTACCCCAACCCTTCCAGCACCTTCCTGAATGCTGCTAGATAGTTGTACCCACATGGAGGATAGAATCCCTTTCATCGCAGTGCTTAAGGTCTAGGCAGCCTGTCCCTTCTTCCCGAGGCCTTTATAGTTGGACAATTTCCTGCAAGTGCAGTGTTTGTCTCTGCAAGCTTAGGTGAATAACCACAGAAAAGGAATCGCAAATATTAGCCAAGTGTCCATCTTCTTTCCCTTTATGCCAATTGGCCGCAGTGATGAGTTTATATTGAGAAATAGCATTGGGGAAGACAAGGGGAAAAATCGATTTGGTTCCATCCAAGTGGATTTAGAATTTTGAAAACACATTTATAACAAAAAATAATAAGACATTTATACAGCATTTTATACATACCAGAAGCCTAGTACTATCACCTAGGAAGTTAGCTAGTCGGGGTAAATAACAGCATACCTGTTCTGGTTTTGTAATAATTCTATTGTTTACTTTATGATTCATGTCTGAGCTCAATGACATAAAAATGGATCACTTCAATATTTCTCAGGAAAATCCAGGTTAGTTTAACAAAGAATTTTGTGAATTTCTTCCTGTTTCTGCTCTTCTCTGTCTTTTTTTTTTTTTTTTGAAAAGTATGATTGTTGATGTAGTTTTACAAAATATATTTACTGAACACCCAATATGTGCCTGGCGTGGTCCACATCATGCCAGTTCAACCAGTTAAAATGAAATAATCTGTATGAGTAAACCTGGAATCAGAGAGGTTAAGTGACTTGTCCAATTTACACAACAAGTTTATGACAAAACTCAATGTATCTTTTAAAACTACATTTTCATTTACTTTTATTAATTGGTTAAGATAAGAGATATTCCACAAATTAAAAGACAAATTAGAGATTAAAAAATAGAAGGGACACTCAGCAGCAAGGAAGGCAGCCACCATGAGGCTAATACATGACAGTATCTGGTGGATGACGTATCCATCACCTCGTGCAGTCATTGACAAGACTGAACCATTAATTGTGAGAAAACAGCAGGTTCGGTGAACTGTTTTGGCCTTTCCACTCAAGTAAATCTTTGTGGCCACTTCTGGTTATTTTCTTTATGAGTTTCTTTCCTTTTTTCCTTTCTAGTCTCTCAAAAGTCCTTTAAAACGCAACAAGTATTCAATAGGAAGTATGTTGAGTGGCAACTGGTTTCCCTCAAATCTGAGCTCTGTTTTATGAGGGATACAAAGTAACATATGAGGGGCACAAAGTAACCGCTTATAATCCTGCAGGATGATAACCTCAAATAACATTGTTGAAATGCAGGTGTGTGTGTGCACGTGCATGTGTGCGTGCGCGTGTGCATGTGGTGGTGAGGGAAGATGTATTAAATTTAATAAACCACGGCATTGCTTGAAGAGTGGCCCAGATTATGTCTGCCGTGGTCATGATCTATGTGTGTTGGATGAATTTTAGGCCCGGCTGTGATGTTAGCCAGATGTGTGACCTCTATAATTCCCCCCGCGGGGGCCAGGCCCCTTTCGGGAAGGAGAAGGGAGGTTATACTGATGAAGAGAAAGGGAGCATGATCGAATTGTTACGTGACTTTGTGCTATACTGAGCTCTGCGTTGCCCCAAGTTACGGAGCATCATGACATGAGAAAGGTTTGATTCAGGCTTATTGCCATCTTCGGAGCTAGGGAACGTTGGCCGTGGTCACACGGAGGGAGCGCTAGAAGATAAACTGGTCAGGAGACCAAACGAGGCTGATCTGCTCCCGCCTGCGACCCGGGGGCAGTTAGGAAACGAGGTGTTCAGAGTGGCCTCTGTCCTCGTTTCGCTGCTGGCGCGAACCATGAGAGACGATGGACTCTGAAAAACAAACAGGGTTCTGGAGGGGAGGGGGTGGGAGGATGGGTTAGCCTGGTGGTGGGTATTGAGGAGGGCATGTTCTGCATGGAGCACTGGGTGTTGTGCACAAACAATGAATCATGGAACACTTCATCTAAAACGAATGATGTAATGCATGGGGATTAACATAAGAAAAAAAATAAATAAAAATAAATAAAAAATAAATAAAAAATAAAAAATAAACACTTTCTTAAAAATCATAAGATGATGCTTTGTCATCAGTTCAATTTGTTTTTACAGTTTGTAGGCCTGTCACTATAAAGGCTTTTGGGGAAGCTGTCCCACATGCTTAAAATATCTCTGTAACACTTGGAGAAAAATTGCTGGCTAATGCCACTGTCACCGGCCAGACGCCGGAGCCGCCAGAATTAACACGGAGGCAGGCACAGAGGTTTGAGGCAGGACCCCTGAGTTTATTTGTTGCGATCGTGGGGCAGTTTGCCAAGGTATTTTTCACTGGAAACTCTAGGATTTGCCAGCGTTAAACACGCCCGGGCTTCCTTGATCAGTTCGCAGAGATGACAGCAGGGAACACGTCTAACTAAATGAAGGGATGTGCGAGCGAAAGAGAATGCCTCCAGGCTCAGGTGGGGGCCAGATCCCGGGGCGCGGACTTCCTCCCAGGGAAAACGGGCATGTGAGAGTTGCGACACTAGGCATGACCCGGTGCCCCACAGCTGCAGCAACTGGGGTCCGCTTTGGGAGCGTCTTGTGTGGCAGGCCCCGTGCCCTGCTCACCGATCCCAGCGCTGAGCGGAGCAGTGAGTGCCGCCTGTGAGCTCCCGGGCTCTTTGGTGCTCGCAGGGAACAGTTTGGGTTGGTGAGCCTTCCAAATGCCCGTAGGGTGTTCTCCACGGACCCCCTGTAAGTACTTTCTCCTCGGAAATGGAAAGTGTGTTTTTGGAAGATGGTTTCTGAAAGCCTTTGGATGTTTGAAGCCGTGTTGAGCCAACAAACATTTGCTTGCATAGAATCTGCAAAATCAGAAGAACCTACGGTCATGGGTTTGTATGTCAGGCCGGTAGTGTGACTCATTCTTTTTTTTTTTTTTTTTTTAAGATTTTATTTATTTATTTGACGGAGAGAGAGAGAGCAAAAGGAAGGGGAGCGGCAGGGGGAGGGAGAGGGAGAAGCAGGCTTTCTGAGGAGCAGGGAGCCCGACGTGGGACTCGATCCCAGAACCCTGGGATCATGACCTGAGCCGAGGGCAGCCGCTTAACCAACTGAGCCACCCAGGCGCCCCTCACTTATTCTTTACAACAACCCTATAAAGTGCATGGCATTGTTATGTATGTTTTGCGGGTGGGAGGAAGACAGAAAACTTAGGCCAAGAAAGGTGCCCTTGCCCAAGGTCACCCAGCAAGGAAGTGGCTGAGCCCTGATTCAAGCTCTGGCCATCTGACGCTGTGCTCTTACCTACCATGTAGAAGAACCTCTGGTAGCACATCCAACACGTGCACGACCATAAACGCAACGCGAGCCGCGAAATACCGAGGCATAAACTTAACCAAAAAAATGCATGGCGTAATGTAAAAAGAAATTGTTCAGTTTTATGGAGGGACATAAAAGATTCTTAAAAATAGACAGAGACATACTGTACTCCTGAAAGACTCCACATTGTAATGATTAAAATTTAGAGTTGTCGCATGCTTTAGATTAAAATAGACTCCAAATAAGTTTAAATGTTGAAAAAAGAAAAAAAGTCCAGAAAAAATGTAGATAAATATTATTATAACTTTAAGGTGGGGATGGGTCGAAAGCATGCCACACAAGTTAAAAACCGTATCAGAAAAGCACAGATGTACAGATGCCCGGGTGGCTCAGTCGGTTAAGCATCCAGCTCTTGATTTTGGCTCAGGTCTTGATCTCAGGGTTGTGGGATGGAGCCCCACGCGGGGCTCCATGCTCAGCGGGGAGTCTGCTAGAGAGTCTCTCTCTCCCTTTCCATCTGCCCCTCCCCCCCCACTCGCACACACTCTCACTCTCTAAAATAAACAAATCTTTTTTAAAAAAGCATAGATTTGAGCTACATTAAAAACTCAAAATTTCTCTACTTCAAAAAACACAATAAATAGAATCAGAAGGAAGAGGAAAACTGGGGAAAAGCATTTGCAAAATATATATATAATGAACAAAAATTATCATTCTTAATACATGAACCAATAAAAAGATAATAGTCCCATTTTAAATATGAGTAAAAAGTATCAATAAGGAATTTAGCAAAAGAAGAAGTCAAAATTACCAATAGAGCTTTAAAAAAAATGTTTACTTCTCTTAGAAATCATTAAAAAGTAAAGGTAAATATGATACTATTTTCACCTACTGGATCAATAAAAAATGAGAATAATACTATCCAGTATTGGAAAGGATGTGGGGAAAGGAAATCTCCCTAAAGAAAGTGTGGGGAGGAAGGTAAACTGTGCAAAATGTCTAGGGAAGGGGGTAATTTGACAATGGGCTGTTCAAGCTTTAAAATGGCATACATTTTAACCTGGCAATTCCTCTTCTAGGTATGTTTAGGCAAAGGTAACAGTTGGAAGTGTGCAAAGATTTTTTAATACTAAATAAAAACTAAAAATCAGAAATAGTCTACATGTTTAACCATAAGGATATAGTTTAAAAAAATGGTTTTTGGTCTGGTGACACAATGGAAGTCTCTGTAGCCACTAAAAAGATATGGTATATTTATTAGCAAGGAATGATGTCTGTATGTGAATGAAGGTGAGAAAAGCAGATTACAGCATGAAATGCATCATATGATCCCATTTTTGTACCAAAAAAAAAATGTATATCATCATCAAAAGAAGGAAGTTGGGAAGAGTACACACCAAGATATTAACTGTGGTAAGATTGTTAGTATTTTTGTTTTGCTTATTTGTATTTATTTTTTCAACAAAGACTACGGATTGGTTTTATAATACTTTAAAAAATCACTTCTATTTGGACAGCTGGATGCAGATCAGTGCGGTAGACAAAAGAGGGCTTGCGCCCGTAGCTATCCAGCTTTGTGTTATATTCTGCTTAGGGTGGCTGAAATCTCAAGGTAAGGCCGCAGAAGGAAAGAGACTTATGTGCTATAGAGATGAACTCCTAGATCTTAGAAATAATATCCTGCTACCACCCAATTTCCAGGAAATGGAAACTCCTTGCCCAGTTTAAGAGTAGTTCAGGGTCACTGAAGTGAAGGGGTGGTTACATCTGCTCTTTGGCTGAAAAATGTCTTAATTTTCCTTCCATCAGCTTTCCATTTCAAATAAGTTTTGCCACGGAAGTTGTCTTTTATTCACAACTGTCCGCCTCCTCTTTTCCCATCGATTGCCCATCCTTAATCACAGCTTCTTCCCTCCGTCTTCACGACACAAACACAAACACATAACCGGACACACAATGTCTCCCCTCTCCTTCCATGGATAGATCTATTTATCTATCAGATTGCTTCAGTCTTTTTGGAAACACATGCTGTTTCCCTGAGCAGGAGAGCTCTGAAATAGGAGTCAGAAGAATCTAGTCGGTTGCAGACTATCGACGCCTGTGAGCGAAGAAGATACGAGGTTCTGTTGGTTATTATCATTCAGGCCCTTTCTTGGAGACAAAGGTCACTTCGAGTAGGGATGTTCTGGAACTTGAGCGATGGGGCACAAAACTGAAAGAAGAAGCGGGAGGAGAGGTAGAGTGGCCTGCTTTCCAGGAGATGGGGGTGGAGGCACAGCCTCACTGGGGAAAAGCTGCAGAGCCAGATATGTGGCCAAGATAGCCAAGTTAGGAACAAAAGCACAAGTTAGCCAGCCAGCGCAGTCATGTCCCAATCCGATGCCCATGATCTATGTCTCCTCACACCCCGAGGTGCCTAATGATTGGATTCTAAATGACAGCGAGAAGGTGCCTCCAGATCCTTTGTGGATATGAGCAAATTGGGCTTTTGAAAACTCGCCAGGACCACAAACTCCTGAGAAAAAAACAACACATGGAAATTTTTGTAAAAAAAGCAATTTGGCATCGATTCATAGAGAATGGGATTAGATTTAATTAAAGAGGGGAACCCCCAACTCCATCTGGTTCTCTCCACATCAGCACTAGGGAGGGATATTAGAGCAAGAGCTAGGGATTATTTCTTGGCTTTCATGGATTTCCTCCTCAGGGATCAAATATAAATTCCAAACCAACCTTTGTTTCAGAAATCGTAAGCTGGACACTCTGGGCTGCCTGACTGTTTATGTTTTCTTGAGTCACCTCCATAGTGGAGTGACCAGCTCTCAGTAGCTTCTTGGAAATACACGATTGTTCTGTTTTTTACAGTGACAATGAATCCTGAAGCTGAATGGTGCTAATGTTTTCCAAGAGAAGCGGCCCGGGAGGGAGCCCGCCGAGCCTGCCAACAGAGGATGAAGAGGATGCGAATTTAATTAATTTCAAATCAACATAGACACAAGAACCTTTTGCTGTTTCTTCCAACGCCCACTCTTCCTAATGATGGCATCACCTGTCCTTGGAAGAATGCACGATTGAGAAGCACCAGGAAGAGGCTTGGCTGCCGTCCAGGGTGGCCTCTGAGAAAAGGAGGAGCCACGTGGTTTTCACCTCTCATCAGGGCCACTTCCCTTCTCTGGGCCAACCTTTATGCTGCCTGTATTCATTCTGGCCAGCTCTCTAGGTCTTTGTTATCTTTCTGCTTCATTCCTTGGAGTTTAAATCAGGAAGCTGTTTCATATATGGCTTCCTTCGGGGCCACCTTATTACCTAATTAGCTCTGGATAATTTCCTCTGATTAGTCAAGTCCTCTGATAGGTCATCTGCATTCGGCAGGAACTTTCCTCCAGGCGAGTTACATCATGGAAAAGACAGAAAACAAAGCGAGTGTTTCACCCTACACGTCATCCCCAGGGGCTCGGTAAACTCATCTACCTGCCCAGGAGGTATACTGAGAGAGTCCACCCGCCCAAGGAGATGCTGTTTGGTGCCTTGTGGACTCTGAGTTGGCCAGACCCCTTGGGACCTTCTCGGAGGAACAGGAATCTTCAATGAGAGAGCAAAGTGATTTCCTTCTCAGCTAAAATCACCTGCTTGTTCACATTTCCCAAAGCTCATTCTTGCTCTCACCACACCTCCCTTACCCATGGTATGTGAATAGGACATGTGCACAGGGGGATCGGCTGTCAACCTTCTATGTTTCTGAGATCTTTACAGTCATTTGAAACAAACAGAATAGGAATAGGAAACACCTGCGTGTGTAGCAGATTTCACTCAGTGCACTTTCCTGTCAAGCTGGGACAAGCCTCGCGTCCTACTCAACGCAGCTCTCCAGGAGGCCACTATCAGTCCATCAGAGAGGACATTCTCTGCCGTATTTGGTGACACCCTTTACAAGAAGCAATGGTGCAGAGTGCAGAAGGGCCTGCTTATCATTCCCATTCACGTAAAATCAATCCTCATTTCATCCTGAATTTTCTACTCCCAACCTTTAAAGCAATCTAGTACATTGGGAGTCCTCAGGTCTTCTACAACGGCTGATGTTTTATTCCAGGAAAGAAGTAAATAATGAAAACTTTATTTATTTTCCTCTTTACATATAAACTGAGGGGAGATGAGATTCACCAAACATTTGCTGCTGAATTTGGGGTCTTGAAAGGCTGCCTTAATGTGTAACAAAAACTGCCCTTCTCCTCCCTTTTGGATCCTTCTGGCATACTCGCCTTCTGAACTGTGCCCACAGTTTTAAAGGCGGAGTTCCAAAGCCAGGGAGATCTTTCCACACAATGAAAGAAAACTATCTGGTTGTGTTTAACCACTGCTATCCTGCTATCCTGAGACCTCATAGAGCTTTGGTAAAAGAGTGTTCATGGTATATAATTTCAACAGATTTGTCTGTCATAGTCTTCTTAGCACATCCTAATATGACATTTTTGTTTTCACTTCTGTTCTGCACATTCATATTCCACTTGTGGTCCACAATGACTCCCAGATATTTATGCCAAAATTGCCATTTTCTGAATCATCTTTTCTGCCTGTTTTGTTACTTTGTTTCTTCTCAACATTTTGACTCTCAGGAGAGTCTCAGATTGCTTCTTTCTCTCCCCAGGTATCCAAGATTTTTGGTGAATACTGAGGCTTGTAAATTTTATCCAAGACTATCAAATAATGTGACTTTAGAAGTTTAGAGACCTAGGGGCACCTGGGTGGCTCAGTTGGTTAAGCGACTGCCTTTGGCTCAGGTCATGATCCTGGAGTCCCTGGATCGAGTCCCGCATCGGGCTCCCTGCTCGGCGGGGGGTCTGCTTCGTCCTCTGACCCTATCCCCTCTCATGTGTTCTCTCTCTCTCAAATAAATAAATAAAATCTTTAAAAAAAAAAAAAAGAAGTTTAGAGACCTAGAAGGGGTCTTGGAATCTTATTTTGATGAAACAATATTTTATGATACGATAAAAATATTCTCACTCGGTATTTAAAATCATGTCAAATTCCAGAAGAAGCAAGTTTCAGCAGCATGTCATTCAATTTATGTCTGAAAAATGTACTAACCTCTATAATTGCACAGTATAGAAAGCATTTTTTTAAAGGTAGTTTTTTCTGGCAAGATATATGAACCAAAGCAGTGAAGGGTCAATCCTAGCACCCTATATCTTGTATTACTGTTCAATCAATAGGTATCATATATTTATGATAATTTTAAGACTTGCTTTTAAACTCAAAGTTAATTTTATGTTTCAGATTATTGTTTGTAAACATCTAACTAATTTTCTCTTAATTGGGTAGCCAATCAGAACAAAATCTGACTTTGGAATATTTTAAAGATATGTAAGTGTCACTGCATTTTTTGTACATTTTAAGCAAACCAGGTTAACAATATTGTTGAGTCAAACTTCTCAGGAAACTTGTTTTAATAAATATGTAAGAATATCAACCTGTTACTCTTAACTCAGTAATGTGACTCCTCCTTCTGGGGAGCTCACTGGTATCCAAACACAGGGATGCAGCATGGATCAAACTTCATATCCATGGTGGAGGGTGGGAGGAGGCAAATGCCTCTAACAATGTAAATGGATGCTTTAAAAATACTTTTGTCTATTTTTAAATTTTGGTTGTTTAAAATATCAATTCGCACCATCTCTGGAAGGAGGCCCCTATCATGAGTAAACAGAAAATATAGACTTTAGTTTCAATTTCTGTCAGAATTCATACGAGTTCTGAATGTACTGGAGTGATAAGACACAGTTACATATTAGGAAGACACTGCTGAAATTCCCATTGTGGGGAAAACATTGAAACTTTATGCTAAATTTACCCATGCTATGTTTTTACACTCAGAAGATACTCAGGATGAATTCTGGGGTTCCACTTAACAGGTTCAACAGGAAGGCCAGAGTAGCTTCACTCATAGATTACATTTCTTCAATCTTAAAGTAACCAGGGGAGTCACTATGTAATAGTGTGGACTGGAATTAGTCAAAGTGGTTATTAATTATTATAATCCAAACAATGAATTGCCTAAATTTGTTTGTTTGTCTGAGCAGCTCTTTGATATTACCTTGGAACTCTCCCATCTGATACCAAAATTTTATTTTCCTCTTAGTCCTTTTGGGGGTGGCTATTTGTAGATACGCAGTGGGTTTTTTGGTTTCTTTTGGGTTTTGCCCTATTACCTTTTCTAAAAAACATGTCATATTCACAGAATAGTGATCCATACAGTTATATAAAATAAAACTTTTTAAAATCGATTCTATAGATACTCTAAGCTCTTTTTGAAATATTTTAAGAAGTTAAATTTCTAAACCAAAGTACATCCAGTAACATGAAGACTTTAATTTCAGTGCTGTACAAGTTTAGAAATACAACACTGAACTGTTTAAGGCAACCAAAGGTGAATGGATTCTCTTCAGTTGGACTTCAGGTGTAGAGGGCTCAGGTAATCATGTTCCTCACTTCCCATCACAGTATCATCTCTGGCCTTTGGTACTTTATAAATAAGTAATTGGACCTTTTACAAAAAGCATATTCTTCACATTTTTCACTTCTTTGGTCTGCATGGCAAGAATTAAATGAATGATACATAGAAACTACAAATAGTAAGCAACATTTTTTTCAGTGTAGATATCAGTGGTGAGTAATCACCATATTACTCTGACTTAGGTGAAACCCCTGAAATTGTAAATAACATCAAGAACTTAGGGAAACTCTTTGTGTTTAATAAATGTCAGCTTTCAGAAAGAGCGGATAATGTGGTTTGCCAACAAGTTAAAAAATAATCTGGTAGGTCTTTAGTAATTTAGCATGTATGTATCTTGTTTTTAAAGTTAAGTGAAAATAATGTAAAAAACTACTTTATTAGATGCTCTCATTTTTCAAGCAGTATGAAGTATTTCCTCAGAAGGTCAGTAAGATCATCAGATGTTGTAGAAATTCTACCTTCCAATGTAGAAATTCTACCTTGGAAGCCTCATGTGAGAAAGGGCCCCATCACTACTGATTAAGAACTGATTTGCAGAACTACTCAAGTTGTTTTTTTTGTTTTTCTTTTTGTTCGTTTTCAGAGAGGAAGGGGAGAGGGGAGGGGCGGAGGGAGAGGGAGAGAGAGAATCCCAAGCAGGCTCCATGCCCAGCAGGGAGCCCAGCATGGAGTTTGACCTCACAACCCTGAGATCACGACCTGAGCTGAAATCAAAAGTTGGTGGCTCAACCAACTGAGCCATCCAGGCGCCCCACAACTACTAAAGTTTTAAGACTGATTAAAGGTTTTAGGGTTTTTTCTCTTGCCTTGTATGCTGAGAATCATATATATAATAATATTTTTCCTTTACAGCTTATGGCTTTAGAAATATCAGATATACATGTGTATATGTATAAATTGCTCTATTCTCAGCTGCATGATTTTTTATAAAAAAAAAATGAGCGAGTCCATACCAGTTTGTATGCTATATTGTTCAATCAGCAGTGATCGACTTAAAAGCATTTCTAAATTTAATTGAAAAATAAAGCACTGTAAGATAGGAGTAAAGAATATCTTTGACTTTAGTTTCTATGTAATTAATGTATATTAACATTTAAAATAAATGTTTATTTGAAGGTAAGGTATTTGTTTATTAAAAATGTTGTTGTAAAGGGGTGAATTAAACATCTTTTAAAGGAAAATTCTTTTAATTTAACTTCTGTGACTATGAAAAAGAAGGATTGTTACCTTTGATAATTATGCTCTTTTGATCCATATACCTTTTTAAATAAATGAAGCAATGCCAATTTTAAAAGTTCTTATAGGATTGAAACTGCTTTATACAAAATTATCTACCCTAAAAATTAATTGGATTTTCTACATATCTAAAAGATATTATAACACATTCTTGTCTTTTTTCTTTGCAAAATATTTTTAAATTGAGAAATGAAATTTTAATTGTCTATGGAATGTAATTTTTAGAAGTATTTTTAGTAAAAATAGAAAAATCTCAGAGCTGAAGCCTTCTCTTTGTCCTGATTACTCACTTTTCTTTGTGCCTTTAATTCTAATTTCATTTTCTACACATTGACATTATAAAAGTTAGAGCAAGGCTGACAGGCAGGTTCACCACATACAGATCGTATGAAGACACCTTTGAATAAGAATGCGTTCTTGCAGGTCACAAAAACTAGTCAGCACATTGACAAACAATGAGCAGAAAGATCCCCCCTCCAGGTTAAAGTAAAACCTGGTCACTTATGGCACTGTTATACCCCTAGAGTCTGTGGCAGGGCTATTTCCTTCCTATTTCAACCAGAATGACTAAGGGACTGAAGTGATGGGACAGATCAGCCTCGAGACAGCTTGAACCCAAAAAGCAGGCGGTCTCACAGCATTAGGGAAATGAGACTGAGAGAGAACAATAATACTAACTGTAACTAGCATCTATTGTGTGTATCAGCTAGGAATTAAGTTCAGCCTCTAATAGTAGACACACAAAACACAATTGTTTTAAGCAAGAGCTTTTCTTCTCATACATGAAAGAGTACAGAGGTAAGCTGATGTGGTAACTCCATGGTCACCTGGGACCTGGGTCCTTCTGACCCTCCCCGCTCCATGGGGCAGAGCTCCCGTCCTCCAGGTGGCCATGGGAAGCAAATGCTCCAGCATCACGGTCGCAAGGAGGAGAGAAAGGGAACCAGAGCAGGGGGGAGCCACTTGAAAGAACTTTCCTGCCAGTGCATTGAAACAACTAGGCCTACATCTCATTAGCCAGCCTATCTGCCAGGCAGCAGGGAACAGTGGTCTCCGGGGTTGGCACATTAGCTCATCCCACAATAAGGTTCTGCTACCCAAAGCACTGAGAGAATATTGGGTATCCGAAGAGGTAGCAATCTGGGCCATAGGGGTTAAGCACTTATTATGTATCATCTCATTTTAATCCTCACCATATACTTTTAAGATCGGGTTAGAGAACTCATGATCTTGTCCCATGTCTTCCCAACTCCAGAGCACATGCTTTAAACTACTACACTGAACCGCCTGCCCAGTAATAAACAGTAGGAGAATGTTTAAGAGGGAGTCAGTCATTGTCAAGGAGGCCCATCGGTGGGCATGATCAGACGAGAAGTAACGGAAGCTGCGGGCTGGTGGGGAAGGAAGGACCGCACCCAGTGCCAGGGGGAATGGTATATCATGCTGAGAAAAAGGAGCCAGGGGTTGGAATAGGGGGGATAAGGGGAAAAACCTAGTTTTTGGACCTAGGTACTGGTAAGGATTTGCTCACTGAGTGAAAAAATAAAATCCCACTTACTGGAGCTGAAGTCAACAGGATAGTGGTTGTCCTCTTTAAGGTTGCAATAGAGAGGTATGCCCAGGTACTCTCAAATACAGGTGGTTAGTGCGAGCATGTGAGAATGTAGAGTTGCTTGAAAGATCACCTCTTCAACAGCCATAATCACTGTGCTTTCAGAACAGCCAACCCTGGCAGGTACATAGCACTTGTGTGGAAGAGGAAAAGCAGCATTGTTTGAGGTTTTCCCTGAGCTCAAGAGTCCCACCTCTGGAAGCATTCATACTTCGCAAGAGAGAAAAATCTGATTGAATTGGCATTTGGTCCATGCATTGCTGCCTAACTACTTAAAACTTAGTAGCTGAAACCAAAACCAAAACCAAACCAAACCAAACCAAACCAAACCAAAACAACAACAAAAACAGAACCAAAAAACTTAGTAGCTTAAACCAGCAACAGTCATTTGTTTTGCCCAGGAGTCTGCAATTCGGGTGGGACTCATTGGGAATAGCTCATCCCTGTTCCACATGGCATCAGCTGGGCGACTGAACTGGGGCTAGGGGACCCGCCTTCACATGGCTCACCCCCATGGCTGGCAAGCTGATACCAGTTGTTTGATGGGAACCCAGCCAGGTCTGTGGGCCAGGGGCCTTGGTTCCTACCACATAGTCCTCTCCATAGCTGTCACACAATATGGTAGCTGGGTTTCAAGAGCAAATATCCCAAGAGGACGAAGTGGAAGGACATGGCATTTTTATCAGCTAGACTCAGAAGTCACATATCATCACTTCTGCCATCCTCTGTCATTTGAAGCCGTCAGAAAGTTCAAGGGGGAGAGGACATCAGCACTACCATCAGTGTCAAGAGCAAGTGGGATAAAAGATATGTTACAGGCATTTTGGAAAACATCATCTGCCAAAATTGGCGTGGCCCCATGTCATCCAGAGGAAATACAATAGGCAAGCTCACATCGAGTGTCCTCAGGAATATTTGACCTCCCTTGAGTCCAGTGCCTGTATGGCTGTCTTTGGCTTAGACATACATCCCTGGTCGTAATTTTTGGTAGGTTTCACCACCTCCATGAGGCCCGAGACACAGCGTAGAACAAGCTGTGGGGGGAGCAGACACATAGAAACCTATGCCTATTCTCAGTACATAAGGTTATAATGGGAACAGATTCGATTGTGAGCACCTTGAGCATGGGGATTAAAAACCATTAGGCATCTCTGTGTCCTGAACAGAGCTTGGCACTAGGAAATGCTCAATTATCATGGGAAAACCAATCACCTACTAAGAGTCACTGTACTGCCCTTACTCAGTATCAGGTCCGTCTTTATCATCAGTGACAACAGGACCCAAATAGAGAATTGCTTATTGTCCATTATCATTTTCTTCCCAAGTTTCCAGTTCCACTGTGTTTCCCTCACCTTCCAGCTAATAGTTTCTGATGCCGTTTTTAATCTTTATTTGAAATTGTGCTATTGTGTGTGCTTTTTGTTTTTAGCTGTCTTAAATCCAATCTGGAAGGTGGCAGAGAACGATCATAATTGAACTAGCAAGCAAATGGAGGTGGAGGAGAAAAGGTGGGGATTTGGAGGGGAAGGAACACGAGGGGGGAGCCCAGCAGATCACTGAAATCCTCTCAGCAGCTCTTTTTGCTCAGCTCTGGGCTCCCCTTCTTTGCTGTCTAGACTGTGCATGGGGAAAGGAAATGCAAGTTTTATTGATAAAAAGAGTCAATGATCTATTTTAGGTGAGGATACAAGCAAGATACAAACTGTTTCTTCCCTGGATGGGAAGACAGATGAACAAAATAAGAGGTGCTGTAAATTCTTCTTGAAAGTTCTCCAGCCAGCACTAAATATAGATGAAGCCAACTAAGCCAGCTAATGGGGCAAGATGGTAAATTATGGGACCCATTTATTTCTCACCTCCATGAATCTGTACGGAAATTCCTCCATCTTGTTACATGTGGTGACTGATGACTTTTCATCTCATGGGAATTTGCCTTTCTGTCTGTAACACACCCCTGTTCCTTTCAAGATGAACCTCCATCCTTCCTCTCTGCTTATAATGCCCAACACTCTATCTTGAGGGACCGGGGATAGATATATCTGGGGAAGCAGCCAAATGAATTAATGTCAGGATCTGTGTTCTGAGTGGGGCTAGAGCATGAACAAGGGGAACACAGTGGTCTGGGGAAGGGGGTGGGGAGTATGTGAGGAAAAACTCTTAGGGAGTTCTTTGGTTCAACAGATGAAACAAAGATAAGTTGTGAAGACCAAAGGGGCAGGATAGGAATAAAAATCTGGAACACAAATCTGAGGCAGGAGTTAGACAGAAGCAGACTAGAAAGTGTTGGGAGTGAGGAGACGAGGAAGGTTCTGGGTGACTTCCACAATGGAGCTGAGCTGTGCAGAGTCTGCTTTCATTGGCCACTGGAAGCACAGGGAATGGCAGTCAGCCTGGCTTCATGGTGGAAGGGCAGAAAGGACACACAATAATACCTTCTCTATGGCAGAGTTGCATGTCCTCCCTGTTAAGTTGAGAAACTCAGTTCTAGAGAGACAGCATGAATTTTAAACCCTGGGCTAGGATTCATGCTCCCACAGCACTGGGACATACCCTGACTCCTATCAGATTTGTGGGAGCTAACTGGATTGTCTGAGAAGGGGCAGACCACCTACATCTCTCGTCAGATCCAGAGGAGGCCACACGAGGTGTGGACAGGGCAAGGCCCAACACTGTCTTCTAAATAAATGTTACAAATTTATCCTAAATAAATACACTTCTAATTTTCTGCCCTCCCATGTAATGTTGGTGTGTTTGTTTAAACAAGACTCTTGATTCCATGAGAAAATTTCCAACTCAAAATACCTCAGACCAAAAGAGACTTCCGGGCTCAGGTAACCAAACTGGGCAGAGGCAGGAAGTTGCTGCTCTCAGAGGTTCAGCCACAGCAAGGGGCGGCCAGACCAGGTACTCAAACACAATAAGGATTCTTCAGTGTTTTTTCTCTTTCCTTCATTGTCTGAAACAACTTTCTCCACAGGACTATAACTGTTGCAGCTAGTAGCTCCAGGGAGCTCATCTTTCTGTCTTTCCCACCAAAGTAGAAGGCAATCTCTTTCCATTACCCAATGAAGAAAAGTCCCCCAGAAGGACTTTTATGCCTAACCCTGTGAAGATGGTATTGGGACAGACTAGGGTTGACATTTCCTTTACTACCACAGGTTGAAATGTGTGTGTATGGTACACACATTGGTTGCCTGGTGGGGTGGGTGGTTGATTAGTTCATTAGTTGGTTGGTTGAAGAGGATTCATGAGGAAGCAGCTTCTATAGGGAGTCAGAGCGCCAGGACCAGATGCAGGGCATTTGGGACCAGCCAAGCACACAGGTGTCCACCACTACACGTGCTCTTCTTTCCCATTCCCCTTACTTACCCACA